GCAGGTTTTCCCTGCGCAGCCAGCAACGCCTGTCCTTACGCAGACGCACGGCACCCAACACCCCCACTGCTGTAAGACGCCACACATACACACACACTTTAAGTACAGAAACATAGCAGGGAAGCACTGATTCCAACTTTCATCGCTGATGGTTTTGCAAACAGTGAATCGGGGTATCTAGAGATGAGGCACTAATGTGACTCATAAGTTTTACTTTTACATCTGTTGGTGATAAATAAAGCACAAGTGGAATTCAAGTCATTTCATAGCTATGTCCATGTCACTGTATTAACTGCTGCTCCTTCATCAAGTATTTGGTCTCTAGCCAAACATGTGAAGAACTTAACCACATGCTGCCTGATGCACAGCCCTGCTGCTTCTCATCTGTCGGTTTTTGTGGATTATTCTCATCTCCATCTTGTTTTCTTTGGAACAGCGTAGTGTTTGTCTCTCTTTGATTAGCAAATCCGTTGTGCTACCTGTTCTTCAAGTGATATAATTAGACACAAGGACTGAGAAAAGGGCTGATAAACACTGAAATTGTAAAATATGTCTATATTTTATAATATATATTGTTTATTTATTTGTACATAATTTCTGTCCCTTGTAACCTGGTCTGCGTGAAGGACAGATTTAAAAGTCCCTGAGGGACGTGTGCCTTGCAGTGAAGTTGTTCCTATATTCATGTCGACGCCTGTTTGCTCAACTGCTGTCCAACACCTCATGAGTCACAGCACCTAAAGATAAGAGGTGTTTTCATGAGATCTGTGTTGCTATTAGTTGTGTTACCATGTCTAAAGTTAGTTCTACACATCAGCAACTGTTGTTGTGGTCTGTGGGAGTAGCGTCCGCTCCCACTGACTCAGTAAATGATCCCTAATGATTGAAAGCTATTGAATTGATGAGAGGAGGCCGTGGATTTGAAAACTGGAACTACACATTTCTCACAGAGCACAGAGAAACTGAAGACGGTTGAAAAAGCCATTACCGCTAGCACATCTAGACACAAGGCTTTAGTTTCGTGCCCTATTCAAGCTGTCGCTGCTGTTTGTGACACGTTTTTGGTCCGTTGTCTGAGGTGTGAGCTGCATATTACAGTTATACGTAATTGTTGTTTTGATCTATTCATTTATTTTTGCCAATTCAAATCAGTAGCAGAAATGATACCAGTATAATGTTTATTGTTTATATACTCATCCAGAAAACCGGCCAACTGGGTTAATCAGAAAGTAAAGTTTTATTTTTTTTATTGATTTTAAACTTTTCATTCTCCTGTTTCGAGAGTGATTTCTTTGCAGGTCTCATAAGGAGTTGAATCAGTGCTCCATGATTTTCAGTATAGCTGTGGTAGTATAAACAAACGGTTCTGCTCTGACATCTCATAGCTAGAAGTCACTTGTAATCTCAGATGACTTCCCAAAATGATCGGTTTCCAAATCCCCTGACTAAGTACTCTGATATGCAATTTCTGTTATAACAGATTTTATGTAAATATAAACTGCTCTGAGTTAAAATTGTGATTTGTGAAAACATGGTATGTTTTATACCAAAGTGGTACGAATGTGGCCACCACAGACTGTAATTGGAGAGTTGAATGTAACCACATCACCCATTGCTTTGCCTTGATGTTAGACATTATGGTCTTTCCCATGTAGGTGTTTAGGAGCCTGAAGTGACCATCTAATGAGTTATCACCCACTAACTAAGGCTGGTTACCAATAGAGTATGACCAGTTTATTTTTATAATCAGAATAGTGGATTTTTAAGACAACATCTGTCCTTAAAACCCTTTATCTGTCAAGCAACAACTGCACCGTAATAGATACATGGAAATTACTGCCAGAATTTCAATCACTTCAATCACTTGTGTGGGCTGTTGGTGCAGTTAACTGCTTCATAAACAACTTTTTTTATTTTATTTATTGACTGCAATAAGCTCTAAAAAGCCAACATGGTTGAGACAACCAGTTCAGTGACTCATAACATCTCAGGTGACTCTTGGCAGACAGCTAGCAGTGCTAACTGAATCTGTTGGCGCCCACCTGTCACTCAGAGTAGCCACACCTGTAATAATGCAACCTTTAAGCAGTAATAAAGTTTGAAAGGGTGAAATAGAAAAAAGTACATTAACACTTCAAGTACAATTTTCACAAAGTAAGAAAGTTGGTTGTTTTTGTTGTTATTTTTGTATATACGGGAGGATTCCCTTTAAGAGGCAGACACAAAGGCCTATTCAGGAAACTCAAATTTTAGGCACTTCTGCTTTATTTTTCAACATGTTTGTAGCAGTTTCTGAAATTTACAAGATGTAACCATGTATACACGGTGAAGGGAAACACATTTGATCTCAAACAATCTCCCTGTTTGCAAACCAGAAAAACAAACCCCAGACTGAAAGTAATCCTCTAAGTCAGGTTCAGCACACTCTGAGCTGAAATCTTAAGCCAAGTCAGGTTTCTTACATTCTTCTCTCTGTTCTTACGAACTGCTTTGTACGACGGCGAGACCTCGTCTGTATGCAACACTTGTGTAATGAAAAATATATACAGCACTGTTCGGTTTTCCTTGTAGGGTTTCTCGTAATGTAAAACTTCTGACATGCGGCTAAAGCCCATTTGCTGGCATGAGATTAGTGCTCACGGGAGCAGTTGTTTTGAATATCTTTTAGGATATTGATATTGATTGCTGGGGTGTACATGAGTGCCCGCCAGGCATATTTTCCCACTCCACCAAGGCCAGAGGGATTGAAGCAGATGAGAATGGAGCGGTGAGTGCTGTAAGTGTGATTGAATGTGTTTTTAGGGCTTTTATTACCCTGACATATATAAGATGGACAATGATAGTCATCCTGAAATACACATACACATTCCTCGATAGCATCAAATTGTGGTACAAGCTTGTATCTTAGACACTGTTTATGTAAATAGAATGACTATATCGAAAGATCTCTGCCCCTGATGTCAGACCATGAGGTAACAGAGCCCTTCCCTTTTCAAGAAACAGCACTGCAGCTACTCGCCTTTCAGTTAACTGCTGAGGACGTAACAGTCGCTGCTGCAATCGGCAGCCGGTGCACTATCAAAAAGTTTCCAAGGCCCTGCTCCAGCCCCTTCCTCCGCAGATTGTCAGTCAGACATATTTAGTGATCAGCCTTTTCTTTCCTTCATCCATCCATTCATCCGGGCTTTGTTATGTTGTTTCCCCTGACACACCCTTCCTGTCCAGAGGAAGTTGGCTATTGCTAATGTTATTAAGGAAAAGCCTTCCTCCTGAGAGCTATAGCTGCTAGACCTGTCAGTTCAGTCGGTTTCCTTCATCTTTTCCACGATTACTGCAAAGGTTGCACCTGTGAGTGTTCATTCAGCGAAGGTAATTAACAGCCATAGTGGATATTTTTTTCCCTTTTTTTTTTTTATATATGTGGCATTGTTTGTTTTGGGTGTTTAACCAGTACATCTGTCTAACCTGGCACTGTCTGTTGATTGATGGAGATTTAAGTCAGAAAAAGACACAGAAAGACTCCAGCTAAAGTTCAGTTACCAAGGCTGGTTGAAAGCTGCTATTGTACTGAATAATAAAAGCTAAGAGATTATGAATGAGCCTCTAAACAGCTTTACAACCTCTGCTTTGAGCACCCTGCCATAAGTACCTGTGTAAAGACTGCTCACTACAACATGTTCCAGCAAAGGCAGTGTTCCTCCTCTGCACTGATCTGCTGAGGGAGTGTTCTGGGCGTGTTTAGGTTGAATAGCACACATGTACACATTGGATTGGAATTTTTATCACCAGAACTTTACAAGGCCTATTTGCCTGCAGTGATAGCAGTGTACAGCAACATGTGAGGGTAAAACTGAAAGATGACATAATATCAGCAAGTGTAGCTGGAAGCTTTCACAATCAAAACTCCAGAATCTTGTAGCTTCACATGCTGGATTATGATCATTGTAGACCAGAGAAGTGAAACATTTTACTGGCTCTGCCCAGGCAGTGTGTGCATTTTTTTTATCTTTGCTTCTGTATCAGAGTCACTCAGGACTCAGATATGCAGTTTTTAAGGTTAAGTATTGGTGCTGTAAGTCCTTGAGAAGAGGTTATGCTGAAGTACCAAGTGCTTTCTCAGATGCAGGGAGTATTGTTGAATGCCATTCTGGCTGTTTTCACTTTTCCTGTTGGGAAGGGCTTCGCTGATGAATGATGTCCTGTGTTTTTTCCCCTCACACTCACACTTTCTTCAGCTGTTTTGTTTTCCCTCAATCAGAATTTCACACAGTCACACTCTTCCTCATGTGCTCATTCTTACACCTGTTTTGCAGCACCCCTGCGTCTCTGCTCTTATATAAACAAAGAAAACATTCACAAAGCTTCAAGTACGAGTGCTCTAATCTGCCCTCCGTGCTCATATAAGCACAACTACTGAGCTGCTCTCGCTGTTAAGGGGCCTGGGCAATTACAGAGCCAGGTGTATCAGATTTCTTTGTCCAGCCCTTAGGCAACATCTGAGGACAGAACGATTTTCTATTGTTTTGTTCTATATAGGCCAGGCTTATCAGTTCTTCTGCCTCTGTGAGCTCCGTGTGGGTTTGAGACAGTATGTCCTCTGTGCCCGCCTCATTAAAAGAGGCATGGTTCAGTAGGCAGGAAAAACACACTCGATCACCCAGCCGCCCACCACCATCTCTGTCCCCACTCTGGTTCTGTCTCCATTAACTCATCCCTTCACCTTCCATTACCCGTCTTACCACTGGTGGCTGCTCAAGAACAGCAGCGTGCTGCTCTATCTGCAACACTGTGTGCTCTTCAGAAATAATTTTAGTTATGATGTCAATTAGCTACTATTACACTTTATCATTCATTAATGTTTTGTTGCTTGGCTTCCTATTAGGGATGTGAATGGTCCACAGATATTAAAGACTTGTTCACTGCACCCCACTGATTTTTAGCTATTCATGTCTCTCAAGCTGGTTGTCATCATTCATTGCTCTTCTGTTTTTTTCCCCTAGGTACAGCAGAAGCAAAGTGTCAGTGGTGAAGAGGAGGTGAAGGGCTCAGAAACACCGGTCCGTGAGACTGACAGTCAGTATGGGACCTGGGAGACGGGACTACGCACTGATGATAGGTAAATATACAATAAAAATGACATGCAAATACAACTAAACTAGGTAAATTAAAAATGTCTAGGCTACTTCAAAACAACTAACTTAGAAGAGAGGCCAGGGTTGGGCTGGCCAACACTCCTGCCTAGGGATGGGTATCGTTTAGGTTTTATCCGATACCGGTGCCAAATCGGTACTTTTGAAACGGTGCCGGTGCTCAAACGGTGCTCAAACCGGTGCTTAAAG